ACTTATGGCTGCAACCTTCAGCTTATATTTATGCTAATTTTAGCTTTTTTATGCTATTTCAGCTTTAGATCTGCTTCTTTCTGCTATTATTCTGACCTTTTCTACTTTTTGTGCTTTTTCTGCTTTTTACAGATGTTTTCTGCTATAGTCAACTATTTTAGCTTTTAGTTTTTAGCTGTTTTCTGCTATTTCAACTATATTTTTGCTCCTTTTTACTGTTTTTCTGTAAAGTTAGGCTTTTTTTCTTCTGTTAACTTTGCAAGTTGAAGTCACTTTAACAATTTTGTTATTAAATGTTTTCAGCTCAGTTTCAGCAGCTTTCAGCTAAAGTTTTCAGCGAGAAGCATTCACACTAACATTTTTGCAGGAAATGCAGTTTCTCTAGTTAGATGCTAACTTTTGCATGTTCTGCAGACATTAATATTAACAAAATGCTCAAACTGATCTGAGATTTGCCCGTTCTGCTCAGTACCTGTGGTATGGCTGATTCTCACTGGTTGACCTTCTTGCCCCTCAGACGTACATCGGCTCCATCCTGGCGGCGGTGAACCCCTACCAGCCGCTGCCCGGCCTGTACGACCGGCCCGCCGTGGAGCTGTACAGCCGCCACCACCTGGGCGAGATCAGCCCGCACATCTTCGCAGTCGCCAACGAGTGCTACCGCTCGCTGTGGAAGACGCAGCAGAACCAGTGCGTCCTGATCAGGTGTGTGCTCCGTCTTTAATTATATCCATCATCAGAGAACATATTAAAGCTTTTAACTGACCCTTTGAATAAACACCGGTGGTCTTCAGTTAGTTWCTGTTTTCCTCTGAGTCGAACACTTTGATCCAGTTTCGTGTCTCTTTGGCGTCCCCTCTGAGGATCTGAGCTCGGCATGTTTCTGTCCACCGCTGGTCTTCTTCACATCCTTCCTGTGCAGCTGAACAACTTTCACATTGTTTTAGTTTTACTTCAAAAACATTTTTCCTATAAATACTTCAGAACTGATAATATTTGGCTCCTGGTTTAGAACTGATTGTGCTACAGTGAATATATGTTGAGCCTTATCACAGATTACACGTCAGATTATTTGTTTCACACGCCATGAAGCATTTGTTAGTTTTACTGAGTGATTTTATCCCAGTTACTCTTTTTATGGCTTTACGAAACTGATATTTTCTGTTTTTCTGTGTTTTCTGTACCACACCTCTCCTCCGACAGCTGATAACTTTCAGAGGAGGAGACATTGATAAGGTTTTACCTGTCTGCAYCACAGCTGGCAGCTCCTCCTCAGTCCAGCTGTGTGGTCCCAGTCACAAGTTTGAAACTGGCCTAATTTACCCAGAAAGTTGTGATTATCAGAAACGGTGGTGCCAAACAGCCTCCAGGAGCGAAACTCTATCCGTTCATTTCGTCTCGGCATGCAGACGTGTCCCCTGGGAGGGAGGGAGGGTCTCAGACTCTCTGAGGGGAAAAACATCTTACTGGCAACTCCAAAGGTTGATTTTTTTGGAAAAATGCAAATAAAGAATATTCTATTTCAAGAAGAAATGACTTCCACAAACATATTTTCTCAACAAAGAGTTTGCACAACAGATGAAGGCCGTGTGCACAGAGAGAGAAAAACATTTTTTGTGTCCTGTGTTTCCACAGACACCTTGTTTAGTTCTGCAAACCATCCAATGACATGTTAATGACAGGTTTGATGTTTTTACTGTAAAACTCATAAACCATTAAAATGGTTATAACTCAGAGTTCTGTCCATTCAAACATAAAAAAGTTGTATTTTTCTTCATAACTAAGTTTTTTCCTCAGCCTTGCAGTCGTTGAGATGTAAGAAAAGCTGCGTCTCTCTGCGTGCAGTCTCTCCTCACATGCCCCGTCTGTTGTCTCCTGGTGTAATTTGCCTCCGTCCTTCTGTAGAGCAAACAGAAAGTCTTTTGTGTGGCAGGATGTTGGTCAGTGGGAGGAATCTGTGCGGCAGTTACGCAGAGCAAGGCGTAAACACAAACATGTCATCCTGCTGTGGGCTCTGAGCTGCACAATGCTGCGTTCTGTCCGTTTCTCTGCAGACCATCTGCTTCACGGTCCTGCAGCTCTCACCCATTCCTGCCTTTTTTTTTTCTTCTCACTGCAGCTCGGTGTTTTCTGTTAGCTTTCAGGTCCTGGGATTCAGTTTAACCACAAAATGTGTGACTTGAAGTGAAAGCAAACAGTTTGGTTGTGTAGTTTTTCCATGAGAGCAGCAGCAGAGGTGCAGGCCAGAGAGGACGGACCGCAGACCACAGCCGGGACCTTTTTTTTTTTTACTGTTGTCTGAGCTAAAACACAACCTGATGCTTTTACTGTCTGTTAAAATAGAATAAATGACACGGCGAGCTCTCCAAGGCACACGCCTGTCATCTTTTAAATGGGATTTCTCGCATATTTAGAACGTTTTGTGGTAAAAGGCTGCATCTTTACAGAAAACGTGTGTATTCTTAGAATTTAGGTCCAGTAAAAATACAAAAAGTGCAAAATAAACTAGTGACGAAGCAAATAAAGACTCTGGGTTTTTTCAAAAGCATCATAAGATCTGAAAAACAGAAAAACTTTCTGAACTTTTGTAGAAAAGTTTTATTGTAAAAACAGAAAATTGAAGGTTACAGTTGGTAAGATTTAACTGTGATGTTTTTTTGTTATAAATTACATGTTTTTAACATCTTTTAACAAGAAATGTGCTTTAATGATTTTTATTTTAGTATTATGGCCCTGGTGACCTTTGACCCTCATGATTGCATCATGTTCAGTATGGTGCGGTAGGGTCAAAATTAAGACTATTACGCAACCAGTGGTTGCTACATCCTTGTAGCAGGAAGCTATATCTATTTCTAATCCAGCTATTAATCTGATTAATGATAGGCTGGCACCGCTAACTGAGAGGCCAGTGCTGGCAAATGAGTTGGAGACTATTCATTTGTGTTGGCTAGTGACTAGCATGGTTAGGCTGGCGTTAGCATCGTAGAGGCTAGTGACTAGCATGGATAAGCTGGTGTTAGCATCAGAGAGGCTAGTGACTAGCATGGATAAGCTGGTGTTAGCATCAGAGAGGCTAGTGACTAGCATGGATAA